GTTACCTTTGTAAACATTATAGAACATAGTCACCCTGTAAAAGAATAAGGGCCCAGTCACACATATAGAAGTGACCTGTGTTTTACTGCACCAGATCGACACAGGTCACCACTAGGACACATAGAAAACAATTGTGCCATTTACATCCCAATGTGGTGGGCTGTGCACTCCAATAAAGATGTAAACATGCTGCATTTTATTGCAGCGTACTGGATGCCACCGCAGGTTGCCATGGCAGGGCAATGCACAATGCTGCTGTGCTGGGACCTGAATGGATTGTACACATTGTACACTACACATAAAGTTAAAAAAAAAAAGAAAAAATGTAAACCGTGACAGCTCTGGCAGTGCGTGATACAATGCACACTACTGGAGCTGTCACAGTGCACACTAGCCTGTCCACTGAAATGCAGCATTTTAGCAGACGTTCTTGTGTGAACGGGCCCAAAATTAAGGTGGACCTTCAGTCATTAGATGAACTTTCCCTTAGCTGCCCCCCCTGCCCCCCTTATACTTTACATTGTTAAAATATATTTATAACTAAAGCCAAAACTTTTTTTTAGTTTTCGATAAGGTGGCAAAGGGTTAGAACCCTGTCAGGTTTTTATGCAGTCTGTGTCCCCTAGGGAGAATCACCTTCTCTGTTTGTCCTGGTGACCAATATTAATTGAAGTGAAAGAAAATCCTAAATTTCAGTTGTCATCAGAACAGGAACAGATGTGAAATCTTCCAATGGGGACACTAATTCTGGTGCCTCTGCTGACCACCAGGGGTTGCCCTCAATTTGGAGGGATTTCCTCTCACTTCCTGTTGTGGCTATCAGACAGAAAGTTAGTGATGCGGCCTACCACTTCCTGATTCCACGCCTAGTTGAGGATGATGTATGGCTTGCCCCGTGGCATGTGTGGCAAGAGACATGCCACGGGTTTGTTCCAACTATTTTTTACCTAGGCGAGACTCGCGGGATGTCTGTGTACACGAGCGGGCGGGCGTTGTGGTTCTCCTCCAGGCGACTCCTACATCACTACTGTGTTATTTAGTGACTTAGGGGTCGAGGGGGCAAATGGTTACCAGTTGGGAATTTACCTTACTCTTCTTGTTGTGTCTATAGAAAACAGTAAGAGCCTGTTCACACCCATGGTGTTCTTTGCTGTACATAACACAGGCCTGCTGGTGTGCATTGTGCAGCTACACTACGATGCGTTATAACAAGGCATCGCAGTGTTTCAGGTTTTTTTTTTACTTTATTGAATCTTAACAAATTCAAAATCTTAGCAAACACTTCATTCAAGTCTATGTAAAATAGCACATTGTTACACGCTGTTGTGTGTTGTAACACATTGTTGTGCACTGCGTTCAGGGCCGTAGTAACCTTTGAAGCTCTGACCAGCGTCTTGCCCAGCTCACTGATGTTCTTGGTTGCATGGAGCTGAGCGGGACGCTCTGGCTGGCGTCCCACACAGCTCCTGGCAACTAGTAATGACTGTGAGCTTTGTGAGACTCCTCCACGAGCCACCCCAATTCCCTCCCCCGGAATGTGCAACAAGAATAACTAATAAACGTGAATCAGGAGCAACACCCCTCGCCTCGTGGGGTAAGATGTCTAGGGACACCCCTGGCTGCATTTAAATGCAGACATATATTTTTATACAATGCACCTGTATAGTGTGGGGACCCACACCATAGCGCTACATGATATCGCAGATTGATGTAGATCAAAAGACATGTTGTGAATGGGCCTTAAAGGGAAATCTCCTTATTCTGTCCAAAATGGTAAAAAATAATCTTTGGATGTAGATATACTTACTATAAACTAGACAAGATTAGTTAAATATTATCTCACAACAATACACAAGATTCTTGAAATGGTTTCTACCATTAGAAGCTTCTCACACAGGTATTTTGCTTTGTTTCAGGTCCTCTTTAAGAAGACATCAGACAGCACTTTTTTTAAGGGCCCATCCATATTAGTCTGCAGCATTTTCCTGTGAGCTAGTGTCTGATGTGTAATGTACCACAGATGAGCTGCGTTGTGGTGACCGTCGGTGACTTCAGGGAAAGCTCCAGTGCATGGCAGAAAAATGTAGCATGTCTGCATTTTTTTGCAATACACTGAAACCCACTTTAAAAGAGAACTTTGACTGTGACCCAAAGCACAGTATAACGCAAGCTACAGCTCGGGGTAAACTGAAACCGCCGCAACCGGGACGGATCCCGACATTGCTGTCAAGATCCACCCAGCTGCGTGAGTGACAGCTGGAAATCCCTGCAGGGAGCCGGGACTGACAGTCACTGCTCTCTGCAGGGAGATGATGGAGAAGTGAGCGAGCGACGGTATGTGTTCGCTCACTTCCCGATCTATTAAGCCGACGTGTGACAGTTTCATTGCCACGCGTCAGCTCGAACTATGAGGATGAGTGATTCTCAGAATTGCAGTGTGAACAGGGCAATTAAAAAACTGTTTGCTCTAGCACTGACTGGTATTCTTCTTATGCAAAAAAACGCAGGACACCGTACATCAGGGGTGAGCAAAGTCTGGCCCTCCAGCTGTTGTGGGACTACAAATCCATTGAGGTATTGCAAGATTCTCACAGCTACAGGCATGACTCCCAGAGGCAGATGCATCATGGGATTTGTAGTTTCTCCACAGCTGGAGGGCCGGAGCTTGCCCACACCTAATGTACATAGTGTGAATGAGCTGTAGGTGCAAAAAAATGTGGACTTTTCACTTAAGGTGAAACAATTAAAATAAAAAATTCCCTTAAATATTGTGTCTGGGGGGGTCCCCTTAACCCTCCTGTAAAGTGGTAAATCTGTACGATGTATAGAACCTGCATCAAAACTGACATTTGTAAAGAAAAAAATTACATTTAAAAAGATGGCCTGGCAGGAATGTAAAAAGGGACCTCATTTAAAAGAAGAAAAAAAAGTGTTGAATTCCCCTCAAAAGTCATACCAGATCCTGGGGCGTTGGTTTTGAGGCGCTGCGGGCAGGGGGCTTATTCACATCAGGGTACCCCTTTAATAAAGGGGCATCCAGATGCGGCCCCCCTTGTGAATGAGTAAGGGGTACTTGTAAAACAGAGGCCACACTTTTGCAAAAATCCTTTAATTGAAAAAAAAAACAAAAGACAAGTCTTTTATTTAAAAAAAAATGGATCCACTGATGTAATCCAGGGTCAATCACGACGTCCAGCGTTGTCCACGAGGACGATGACTGTACGAAATTAAAAAATAAAACAATAAAAAATAAACAGAAATATAACAACCACAAAAAAGACGACCACCGTCCCGTCCGCTTGTGATGTTAACCCGCCGCAGAATCGCATTTTGACAGATGCTGGCAACATATAAACACTTGGGCGGAGCTAGCAGTGACAGCTAGCTCCGCCCAACTGTTTACAGTTGTAACAGGTGAGCCATGATTGGGCAAAGTCATCATGACTTTGCCCAATCATGGCTCTTAAGCTGCCCATACACCTTACAACCATCGCACGACTTTCGTTGTGCGATGGTTGTAAGGTGATTAAAATTTCGTACGACCTGCCCATCTTGGACAGGCAGATCGTACTTGCGATCATCGCAAGCCCGCCCCCTTAAGGGGAGGGCATACAGATGATTGCAATAGTGAGCGGGCAGTGTGCACTTGCGCACCTCTGTCCGTCTGGCTTTCGTCTTGCGATCGTGTTACCAACCCGTACGATTTTCGGCGGGTTTTCTAGCGTGCTCGTAAGACGAAAGTTGTGCGACCGCATATACTGTAAGGTTGCACGACTTCCGTATATGCCCATACACCTGACGATTATCGTACGGTAATCATCACGTGTATGGGCAGCTTTAGAGAGTACTGGGCCCTGATTGGGCAAAGTCTTGCACCTGATCTGTGGTCAGGTGCAAGGCTTTAGCTGATCAGGGGTCACAGGGCACAGTCCCTGGCGGGGCACTCGGCGGGCTTCACTGGAAGAAAAAGGTGACAACCCTAGCAGGCACTAATAAGCCGCAACTCATTCTCCCAAATAAATTTCCGTGCGTCGTTATAATGTTCGGGTTTCACTGGAAGAAAAGGTGACCACCCTAGCAGGCACTAATGTGCCATGTGTTCTGGTGCCAAGAATTGCACTGTGGGCGTGGGGGCGTGGCTGCAGTGCCATTGACTTCAATGCACCACCATGCCCCTCCCGTCCCTGAACGCAGGGAGCCGGACGGGTTGCGTTCCAGTGCGTTCCAGAGGTGGGGTGTGAACAGGCTCTGATGGCCTGGTTCACACCTGGATGATTTATCGTGCGGCTCAATCGCGCAAAACACTGATTTACATTAAAGTCAATAGAGGCTGTTCACACCTTTGCGTTTCGTTGTGTGGGCAAAATCACCTGTCTCGCAAAAAGGTGTAGGAGCTATTTTCGGGTGTTTATCGCGCCGTTTTGGTCCCATAGACATCTCTATGCATTGAAAATTGCGTGGTTATCGCGCATTTAAAGCAAAAAACCTGTGCGACAAACGCACGAAAGCAGCTCAATCGCCTAGGTGTGAACTCTTCCAGGGGTTAATGCTGATAATGAGATTTTAGCGATTGGTTAAAGTCTACACCAAAGTTCTTGAATTTAAAAGTTTTAAAAAAAAATCTTGCTGAATTTATCTTTTTATCTTCAAAATATTTATTATTTTTCTGAAAATATTGATACCATGTTTACAAGAAGTCAACAAATAGGGAACTGCTGGCTATACCCCGGTGTGCTTTTTATACCCAGTCCCCCGGTGGTGCCTAGGAAGTCCTCAGTCCTTATATGGTAATAAGAATGATGTCAAGCTCTTGGGGTTTCTATTACAACCGCTCTGGACAGTCAGAGGCTGCCATACACTGGGCGGACAGCAGGCGGCGCCCGTGAGCAGCGCATCGGCACATTACTTTCTTAATATTTTGAGGAATGCGGAACCAGAATAAGTCACTGGTTTGTAAGAAAGAAAGAAAAGCAGAGTGCAGTTTGAATGGGAGAGAAAGGAGGAGCTCGGGCTGCTGTGATACCCAGCCACAGAATCATACTGCACTAGACGGCTCCGGATCTGTGCACCTGCAGCAATGAGGAGCACGTGAATCCCTCCCTGCTGGTTCCCTTGTCTGTGTCACAGTGTGGGCAAAGAGGAGGGGAGGGTGAGGAGACTACAAGATAACAGGAAGATAAAAGGATACAGCTGTGCACTATGGCGGAAGAAAGGAACAAGAGAGCCCTGCTGGAACTGGCCCAGAAACCTGGCAATACGGTGTGTGCTGACTGTGGAGCTCCAGGTAAGGACACTCATGTCATCCATTGTCTGCATGTTCAGTGTACTTTGAGAATGCTAGCTGGAGTGTGATTGGTTACTTAGGGCAAGCCCTTCCTTAGTTACTAACATGTCCCAGGGACATTTGACAGCTGTGTGCTCTGTACATGGGCTACAAAACTCTACCTACCTAGTGATATTTATAAATGAATGACATTGTTGTACACAATCAAACATATCAGAGAAGAGATAAGAGAAGATAAGAACTTAAAGGCCAACTCCGGACACAGGAAAAAAACAAAACCCATACCACACTGCAAGGGTCAACCGCTTGTTAAGTCTAGGGGTAGAGAGATAAGGGGTAACACTTACTTTAGTCCTTGCCCCAGCAGGCAATGTGCCTCTAGCCCTGTATCCTTGCAATGTGCCTCCTCCTCAAGGTACCCCCCTGGCTGCTGTTGTACACTTGCATCCTTTATGTTCTATGAGGGGTTAATACATGATGACACTGAGGGGCCACTCAGAGCGTCAGGGAGAAGAGGAAAGCAGCGGAGCCGGGGGTGGGGGGGAGTGTGAGGTAAGTTAAACATCCTCTTCTTGTACATCCTAGACCCAATGATCATTTAACCCTTGAAGTGTGTGTGTTTGGGGCAGAGATGGGCTTTAAAACTGTATTCCCAATGTAAGAAATTTCCTTTAAATATGTTCCTCCATATATGCATTGCAGCACTGGGGGATTGGGGGGGAGGGGGAGGGGGGGTTCACAGCTAGGACACTATCAGCATGGAGTTTTTATGTTCTCCCTGTGCTTGTTTGGGTTTCTTCCAGGTACTCCAATCCCCCCACAATCCAAAGACATGCTGGTAGGTTAATTGGCTCCTGTATAAATTGGTGTACAAATTGACTAAGCACATGCACTTTCACATTCTGCAACCCCTGTGTAATGGGGAGGGTTGAGGAAAGACCTTGTGACCTACCTACCCAAGAAAATTCCATGCAAGAGGCTCTGAAATATGTCAGACATGGTGGCTGGTCCATAGACTGGCTGAGAGTCATATACGACTTCTCTATACCCTCAAATAATATCAATGCACTGTGTGCGCACCAAATGCGCTTGCAAACCCAGATATTATCACTGATATTACTGTCCTATACATAGCCTGGGCAGGGAGCAGAGCTGTGGGAGGGATCTAGTAGTTCCACCCACTACAGACTGCATACAACTAACTACAGGAGGGTGGCGGATACAAGACCAGTCAAACTGCACAAGGAGAGAGAGAAGCAGTGAGTGGTCTTTATTACAGGAGGGGAAGGAGACGAGACCAGTCACCCTGCACAAGGAGAGAGAGAAGCAATGAGTGGTCTTTATTACAGGAGGGGCGGAGACAAGACCAGTCACCCTGCACAAGGAGAGAGAGAAGCAGTGGGGGTCTTTATTACAGGAGGGGGGCGGAGACAAGACCAGTCACCCTGCACAGGTGAGAGGAAAGCAGTGTGCAGTCTTTATTACAGGAGGGGCGGAGACAAGACCAGTCACCCTGCACAAGGAGAGAGAGAAGCAGTGGGAGGTCTTTATTACAGGAGGGGGGCGGAGACAAGACCAGTCACCATGCACAGGAGAGAGAGAAGCAGTGGCCGGTCTTTATTACAGGAGGAGGGCAGAGACAAGACCAGTCACCCTTCACAAGAAGAGAAAGAAGCAGTGAGCGGTCTTTATTACAGAAGGGGGCGGAGACAAGACCAGTCACCCTGCACAAGAAGAGAGCGAAGCAGTGGCTGGTCTTTATTACAGGAAGCTCCTGCACAGTGTGAACGTTTCATATTAGATTACCGCACAGATCTGGAAGAAATAAACAAAGCTCCGCAAGCTTCCAGTTAGACTATACATGATCCCGGAGTTCAGCTTTAAGGGATTTTAAGGTTCAGAGCGTCAGTGATGAAAACCACAGACAGCTCCAGAGATAAAAAGAATCCACATCTAGTTCTTTAGCAGTTGGACTTTCTCCCTGGAAATATGGGACAGCTGTCAGCTACGCCTTGAACTTCTTTGTGATTTGGAATATTCCTAAGCTCTTGTGTTCAGAACGATAGGGACTTCTCCCCAGTGATTATACAGGTGAAACTCGAATAATTAGAATATCATGCAAAAGTAATTGCAGTAAGTGCTGCAAAAGGGGCCCAAACCAAGTACTGAGTACATATGCATGCTTGTACTTCTCAGAGGTCCGATATTGTTCTATGTACAATCCTTGTTTTATTGATTGCATGTAATAATCTACTTTTTTTGAGGTTGTGGATTTGGAGTTCTTGGGGTTTTCATGAGCTGTAAGCCATAATCATCACAATTATGACAAATCACGGCTTGAACTATCTTGCTTTGCATGTAATGAGTCTATCTCATATATTAGTTTCACCTTTTAAGTTACATTAGTGAAATAAATGAACTTTGCACGATATTCTAATTATTCGAGTTTCACCTGTATATATATATATATATAGTATATAGCAAGTATGTGGGTCAGCAATGCTTTTTGTAGCTTTCACGTACATTTTCCACAGGTGTCATAGGAAATTCTGCTTGGGGCATGTAAATAATCTGACAGCTGTCAAAGTTGCCTCATTCAATAAAGAGTTCTTTTTCCACAAGTGGAGCCCAGTGGTTTCTTCTATGTCCGGGGTATCCCAAGAGAGTGCGTTCGAGTATCCGCTGTTGCAGTCTTTATATCAGTGTTTCTCAACCTTTTTTTGAGTCACAGCACACTTAAACTACGCGGCATCTCGAGGCACCCCAGTCTTGGGCCCCGTTCCCACTTTTGCTTCGCATTTTGCCGCGCATCAGCCCATTCATTTCAATGGGTTGCCACTTGCGTGAAAAAAGCAGCAAAGAAGCTCAAGCAACATTATGAGCTGTGAGCTTCAGGGCTAGTTCACACCAAGCGCAGAACAGACGCAGTTACAGAACGGATCAAAACTGCGTCCAATGTATTCTAATGGTATTTTGGGCTCTAGTTCACACCAAGCGCAGAGCAGTTACAGAACAGATCAAAACTGCGTCCAATGTATTCCAATAGTATTTTGGGCTCTAGTTCCCACCACAGCGTTCAGTTCCAGAGCATGTAGAAAAAGTGCAGCATGCCCTATTTTTTCTGCTCTGGAACGCACCCAAACGCATCAAAAACACATGCAAACACCTCAGAACGCACACTGAAAGCCCATTTTAGGTTAAAAAAAACCTCAGCATTTAAAAAAAAAAACAGCCCGTTACGCGTCAAGAATGCGACAAAACCCACTGCACTGCATGTGCAGAAACTCATGCAGATCTGGTCTGCATTTGGTGTGAACAGGCCCTCATGCGGTTTTTGCCCACGCTTTTGTCTGCGTTTGATGTGCGTAAAAGCCAGATGCGCATAAAGCACATCACAAAATGAAATTTTTTAGTGTGTAAATGTCTATCAAGCAACGGGCAAAGAACAATCAATGACATAATATGTCCTCAATTATTTTTTTATGCTGATGCTTGAGAGTGCCAGTTGCTTGAATGCCGGATAATGGGGAGTTTGCTGCACCTGTAATAATAATTGTCACTAGCTAACATAAATGGTAGATTTTAGATAATGCAGCACCCCTTTAATGTAAAGGTTTGATTTCACCCCAAAAGAGGTCTCTGGTAAAGCTTGAGGAGTTACTGCTTCTTCTTCCTACCCCTGGGCTTGCAGTGTGATATTTCTTGTCTGTAGTAGTAGAATGTGGATGAATGATTGAAGGCGATGTGTGGTATGTAAAGAATGATCCCAAATCCGCACAGCAATGTGCAGTGTTATGCCATGAATTGTGAAGTCTTCTTCCATAGATATTTACACGCTGTACATACACAACACTAGCCTATGGGGGCAGAGAAGTGGTGCCAGCTTCAGTTATCAGTGAGCGCGATGCTATTCTTTGCTGTTGTTATTAAGCAGCAAGATAATGATCTCTCATCTTGCCCTTCCCAGACGATGTTTCACTTTGCTATTCTGAAGAAGTCGGTTTTTCTCAACTGGTAGATCGTTATAATGGTATTTTGGGCTCTAGTTCACACCAAGCGCAGAGCAGTTACAGAACAGATCAAAACTGCGTCCAATGTATTCCAATAGTATTTTGGGCTCTAGTTCCCACCACAGCGTTCAGTTCCAGAGCATGTAGAAAAAGTGCAGCATGCCCTATTTTTTCTGCTCTGGAACGCACCCAAACGCATCAAAAACACATGCAAACACCTCAGAACGCACACTGAAAGCCCATTTTAGGTTAAAAAAAACCTCAGCATTTAAAAAAAAAAACAGCCCGTTACGCGTCAAGAATGCGACAAAACCCACTGCACTGCATGTGCAGAAACTCATGCAGATCTGGTCTGCATTTGGTGTGAACAGGCCCTCATGCGGTTTTTGCCCACGCTTTTGTCTGCGTTTGATGTGCGTAAAAGCCAGATGCGCATAAAGCACATCACAAAATGAAATTTTTTAGTGTGTAAATGTCTATCAAGCAACGGGCAAAGAACAATCAATGACATAATATGTCCTCAATTATTTTTTTATGCTGATGCTTGAGAGTGCCAGTTGCTTGAATGCCGGATAATGGGGAGTTTGCTGCACCTGTAATAATAATTGTCACTAGCTAACATAAATGGTAGATTTTAGATAATGCAGCACCCCTTTAATGTAAAGGTTTGATTTCACCCCAAAAGAGGTCTCTGGTAAAGCTTGAGGAGTTACTGCTTCTTCTTCCTACCCCTGGGCTTGCAGTGTGATATTTCTTGTCTGTAGTAGTAGAATGTGGATGAATGATTGAAGGCGATGTGTGGTATGTAAAGAATGATCCCAAATCCGCACAGCAATGTGCAGTGTTATGCCATGAATTGTGAAGTCTTCTTCCATAGATATTTACACGCTGTACATACACAACACTAGCCTATGGGGGCAGAGAAGTGGTGCCAGCTTCAGTTATCAGTGAGCGCGATGCTATTCTTTGCTGTTGTTATTAAGCAGCAAG